CTATTATATTCTACTGTACTCTATTCTACTCTATTCTACTCTACTGTACTCTATTCTACTCTATTATATTCTACTGTACTCTATTCTACTCTATTCTACTCTACTGTACTATATTCTACTATATTCTACTCTACTGTACTCTATTCTACTCTATTCTACTCTACTGTACTCTATTCTACTCTATTATATTCTACTGTACTCTATTCTACTCTATTCTACTCTACTGTACTCTATTCTACTCTATTCTACTCTACTGTACTCTATTCTACTCTATTATATTCTACTGTACTCTATTCTACTCTATTCTACTCTACTGTACTATATTCTACTATATTCTACTCTACTGTACTCTATTCTACTCTATCTTATATTCTACTGTACTCTATTCTACTCTACTTACTCTATTCTACTCTACTCTACTTAGCTACTCTACTGTACTTCAGTCTACTATATTCTACTCTACTAGTCTACTCTATCTATCTACTGTAATTCTCTGTATTCTACTATCCTACTCTACTGTACTCTATTCTACTCTATTCACCTACTTACTCTATTATACTCTATTATACTGTACTCTATTACTACTCTACTGTACTAGTATTTATACTCTTCTACTCTACTGACTCTATTCTACTCTACTGTACTCTATTATACTCTATACTCTTGTACTCACTCTACTGTACTCTACTTCTCACTACCTACTGTACTCATATTCTACTCTACTCTACTGTTCTACTCTATTCTACTCTACTGTACTCTAGTCTACTGTATTCAATCAATCAATCAAATTGTATTTATAAAGCCCTTTTTACATCAGCAGATGTCACAAAGGGCTATACAGAAACCCAGCCTAAAACCCCAAACAGCAAGCAATGCAGATGTAGAACGCACGGTGGCTAGGAAAACTCCCTAGAAAGGCAGAACCTAGGAAGAAACCTAGAGAGGAACCAGGCTCTGAGGGGTGGCCAGTCCCCTTCTGGCTGTGCCGGGTGGAGATTATAACAGTACATGGCCATTAAGGCCAGATTTTTCTCCAAGATGTTCAAACGTTCATAGATGACCAGCAGGGTCAAATAATAATCACAGTGGTTGTAGAGGTTGCAACAGGTCAGTACATCAGGAGTAAACGCCACTTGGCTTTTCATTTTTGATAGTGGCCAAAAGGCTGTTTTAACATGGGCAGTGCCATTGAGAGCTTCCACCATTTTAATGTAGTCAACTGGATGGGACTTCCAACTTCCTTGGCTGATCCCTCCTGGTGACACTGTTGAACTGGGTCATCAGGAGGGATCAGCCAATCGTGAAGAAGAAATGCACTACTTCAAAATCAGTGGAGGCTGGTGAGAGGAGCTGTAGGAGGACGGGCTCTGTGTAATGGCTGGAATGGAATTAATGGAACGGAGTCAAACGTGGTTTCCATATGTTTGATACCGTTCCATGTATTCCATTCCAGCCATTACACAGAGCCCGTCCTCCTATAGCTCCTCCCACCAGCCTCCACTGTTCAAAATGGAGATAGCCTCAATGGCTCTGCCCATGCTGTCACAGACGCTATAATGGCACAGATACAAAGATGAGTCCTCCATCTACAGTTGAAGTCAGACGTTTACATACAGCTTAGCCAAATACATTTAAACTCAGTTTTTCACAATTCCTGACGTTTAATTATAGTAAAAATTCGCTGTCTTCGGTCAGTTAGGATCACCACTTTATTTTAAGAATGTGAAATGTCAGAATAATAGTAGAGAGAATGATTTATTTATTTAAGCTTTTATTTCTTTCATCACATTCCCAGTGGGTTAGAAGTTTACATACACTCAATTAGTATTTGGTAGCATTGCCTTTAAATTGTTTAACTTGGGTCAAATGTTTCGCGTAGCCTTCCACAAGCTTTCCCACAGTAAGTTTGGTGAATTCTGGCCCATTTCTCCTGACAGAGCTGGTGTAACTGAGTCAGGTATGTAGGCCTCCTTGCTCGCACACGCCTTTTCAGTTCTGCCCACATATTTTCTATAGGATTGAGGTCAGGGCTTTGTGATGGCCACTCCAATACCTTGACTTCGTTGTCCTTAAGCCATTTTGCCACAACTTTGGAAGTATGCTTGGGGTCATTGTCCATTTGGAAGACCAATTTGCGACCAAGCTTTAACTTCCTGACTGATGTCTTGAGATGTTGCTTCAATATATCCACATAATTTTCCTTCCTCATGATGCCATCTATTTTGTGAAGTGCACCAGTCCCTCCTGCAGCAAAGCACCCCCACAGCATGATGCTGCCACCCCCGTGCTTCACGGTTGGGATGGTGTTTTTCAGCTTGCAAGCAACCCCCTTTTTCCACCTAACATAGCGATGGTCATTATGGCCAAACAGTTTTATTTTTGTTTCATCAGACATTTCTCCAAAAAGTATGATCTTTGTCCTCATGTGCAGTTGCAAACCGTAGTCTGGCTTTTTTATGGCAGTTTTGGAGCAGTGGCTTCTTCCTTGCTGAGCGGCCTTTCAGGTTATGTCGATATAGGACTCGTTTTACTGTGGATATAGATACTATTCTACCTGTTTCCTCCAGCATCTTCACAAGGTCCTTTGCTGTTGTTCTGGGATTGATTTGCACTTTTCGCACCAAAGTACGTTCATCTCTAGGAGACAGAACGTGTCTCCTTCCTGAGCAGTATGACGGCTGCGTGGTCCCATGGTGTTTATACTTGCATACTATTGTTTGTACAGATGAACGTGGTACCTTCAGGCGTTTGGAAATTGCCCCCAAGGATGAACCAGACTTGTTGAGGTCTACATTTCTTTTTTCTGAGGTCTTGGCTGATTTCTTTTGATTTTCCCATGATGTCAAGCAAAGAGGCAGTAAGTTTGAAGGTAGGCCTTGAAATACATCCACAAGTACACCTCCAATTGACTCAAATTATGTCAATTAGCCTATCAGAAGCTTCTAAAGCCATGACATCATTTTCTGGAATTTTCCAAGCTGTTTAAAGGCATAGTCAACTTAGTGTATGTAAACTTCGGACCCACTGGAATTGTGATACAGTGAATTATAAGTGAAATAATCTGTCTGTAAACAATTGTTGTAAAAATGACTTGTGTCATGCACAAAGTAGAAGCCCTAACCGACTTGCCAAAACAATAGTTTGTTAACAAGAAATGTGTGGAGTGGTTGAAAAACAAGTTTTAATGACTCCAACCTAAGTGTATGTAAACTTTAGACTTCAACAGTATCTATATGGTAAAGACACAGGTCTGCACTGTGTCTCACATATCTTAGTCAATAGCAGTTGATGTTGAGGTATTATTTTTATTTTCCACAAGATGTCTCTATTGGTTTTGGTTGCATCTAGTGTGTGGAGGGCACCCATCATGAGATTCCTATCTTTGAAAATAACTGAGCAGAAGAACACATTTTGTTGATCATAGACCTATCTGCAGTAGGCGTATGCATGCTGGTGTTGGTACTTTTATCAAGGTTGTCCCAGAGTTCATATGTGCATAGATAGAACATCATGGAAATAGTATTTCAGCCTATTGTAGAGCTTTTAAAGGAGTAGTGAAGTCTATGTGACTGGACTACAGCCTCTGCCCAGAGGTGTGGAGCTTTAAAGGAGTAGTGAAGTCTATGTGACTGTACTACAGCCTCTGCCTAGAGGTGTGGAGCTTTAAAGGAGTAGTGAAGTCTATGACTGTACTACAGCCTCTGCCCAGAGGTGTGGAGCTTATAGCTATAATCCTTAGTTGCTACATATTTTTGGGGACTTATAAATGAATTATATATACCCATTGATTCATGAAGAACATCATTTATAAATGCCTCATGAGCTTAGTTCAACTGTCGTACCCAATCAGAACCTGACATTTACTCCAATGTTTGTAAACAACATAAATGTAAACACACACTTGTTTACATTTACATTTTAGTCATTTAGCAGATGCTCTTATCCAGAGCGACTTACAGTTAGTGAGTGCATACATTTTTCATACCATGGTTAAAACTATAATTGTGATATCATGGATGGTCAGTCCTTGCATCTATAGCTCTGTCTATGAATTTGAGAGTAGTTACATGTCTCCAGGTCCATCCCTCAGCGTTTTACCAAAACAGAGGCGGGGTTTTTCCGCTTTGTTATTGTTTCAACTAAGATTTGTAGCTTTAAGGGCCTGATGGTAGAAGGTCACCAGTTCAAGCCTTGCTCTGGCTGCGGTCATGCATGCCCCCACTCTATCCCTACGCTACCAAGGTTTGGAGCAAAACCCTGCACTGTCCCTTTAAAGATTAAACCAGCTTCTGCATTGGTCGGCCCGGTTGTCAACCACAGCTGTTTACAACATCAAAAGACAGCGAGGTGGAATTTCCCAGGTTACTGCAGAGACCACTTCCGCTATTGGTGTCTGGGTAAATCGAAGGAGCCACTGAAGCAGAAAGGTAGCTAACATAAGCCAACGTCGATCTCTTTGTTTACCATGAAATTAATTGAAAGTTGGCTAGCTTCGTTATCTGGAATCAGACACTGGTTTTGATGCGTAGCAAATGGCTAGTTAGTTAGTTTGCTCGCTAGCTAGCTATCCGTAAGATCTATTCTGTCATGTTAGCTATAATTTGCATGACAATCTGCTAACGGGTTAGCCAGGTCGTTGTTTTGTAGAAATACTTTCACATTGACAGATAGCTAACTCTCTAGTTAACGCTAATTAGCTATCGTTCAAGTAAGCATAATGTTAGCTTGCTAAACAGTCCGATTTGCTACTTGTTAGCTGACGTTACCTAGCTAATGGTTTTTCGGCATCCCAGCATAGCAACTGATATGACTAACGTTAGCTAGCTTGCTAGCTAGCTTCATGGCTAGCCATAATTGTATCGTTAGTTAAGCCAGTGTGACTATCGGATGTCGCTCTTAACTACTGAAGCGCAATAGATGTTGTTCTCGCTTGTCATCTAATCAGGGACCGTTATCTTTTCTGGACTGGACACTTTAGCCGTCTCTTCTTCTAATCAATAATGAACGAAGAAAGAAAGAGAGGCCGAAAAGACGCCAGAGTGAGTTGGGTCATGTTGATAATGTGGTGTTGTCGTGACGTTTGGATGACGTCATCACATCTCATGACAACATCTAGTTTCAATTGGTTTGAATTATGAAGTTTTCAAAAAATAATGTATTGTCTTTCATTTCATTATTCTATTTTGCAACTGAAATCAACTGCACTAGCTAGGGTCTATTAAATCGTCTGGTTACTGTACAATGTCTTTGTTTCTCATCTGTCTGGCTGGAAGTTCAGTTTAATATTGCATGGCATTCTCCCGTGTGGCATTTTCATAACATTTTTACAACCATGTTATCACTCAATGATTTGACCACATCAGTGTTTAAGTTACACAGTCTTGAAATAGCTTTTACAGAAGTCCCCTTTGATAGTGGCATTCAAATGTGACTCTTTGTATTGTAAATGGTTTAGGGTGGGGAACCAAAACAATGCTTGTTATGTAACCAAACTTCTTCTCCTACAATGCATTCAGAAAGTATTCAGACCCCACATTTTGTTACAGCCTTATTCTAACATGGATTAAATTGTTCCCCCCCCCCCCCCCCCCCCTTTATCAATCTACACACAATACCCCATAATGACGAAGCAAAAACAGGTTTTTAGAAATCTTTGCAAATGTATAAAAAAAAAATAATGATACCACATTTACATAAGTATTCAGACCCTTTACTCAGTACTTTGTTTAAGCACCTTTGGCAGCGAATACAGTCTCGAGTCTTCTTGGGTATGACACTACAAGCTTGGCACACCAGTATTTGGGGAGTTTCTCCCATTCTTCTCTGCAGATCCTCTCAAGCTCTGTCAAGTTGGATGGGGAGCGTCGCTGCGCAGCTATTTTCAGGTCTCTCCAGAATTGTTCGATCAGGTTCAAGTCCAGGCTCTGGCTGGGCCACTCAAGGACATTCAGAGACTTGTCCTGAAGCCACTCCTGCGTTGTCTTGGCTGTGTGCTTAGGGTCATTGTCCTGTTGAAAGGTGAACCTTCGCCCCAGTCTGAGGTCCTGAGCTCTCTGGAGTAGGTTTTCATCAAGGATCTCTCTGTACTTCGCTCTGTTCATCTTTCCCTCGATCCTGACTAGTCTCCCAGTCCCTGCCGCTCAAAAACATCCCCACAGCATGATGCTGCCACCATGCTTCACTGTAGGGATGGTACCATGTTTCCTCCAGACGTGATGCTTGGCATTCAGGCCAAAGAGTTCAATCTTGGTTTCATCAGACCAGAGAATCTTGTTTCTTATGGTCTGAGAGTCTTTAGGTGCCTTTTGGCAAACTCCAAGCAGGCTGTCATGTGCCTTTTTACTGAGGAGTGGCTTCCGTCTTGCCACTCTACCATAAAGGCCTGATTGGTGGAGTGCTGCAAAGATGGTTGTCCTTCTGGAAGGTACTCCCATCTCCACAGAGGAACTCTGGAGCTCTGTCAGTGACCTTCGGGTTCTTGGTCACCTCCCTGACCAAGGCCCTTCTCCCCCGATTCCTCAGTTTGGCCGGGCGGCCAGCTCTAGGAAGAGTCTTGGTGGTACCAAACTTCTTCCATTTAAGAATGATGGAGGCCACTGTGTTCTTGGAGACCTTCAATGCTGCAGACATTTTTTGGTACCCTTCCCCAGATCTGTGCCTCGACACAATCCTGTCTCGGAGGTCTACGGACAGTTCCTTCGACCTCATGGTTTGGTTTTTGCTCTGACATGCACTGTCAACTGTGGGACCTTATATAAACAGGTGTGTGCCTTTCCAAATCATGTCCAATCAATTGAATTTACCATAGGTGGACTCCAATCAAGTTGTAGAAACATCTCAAGGATGACCAATGGAAACAGGATGCACCTGAGCTCAATTTCGAATCTCATAGCAAAGGGTCTGAATACTTACACTACCGGTCAAAAGTTTTAGAACCCCTACTCATTCAAGGGTTTTTCTTTATTTTTACTATTTTCTACATTGTAGAATAATAGTGAAGACATCAACTATGAAATAACACATATGGAATCATGTAGTAACCAAAAAAGTGTTAAACAAATCAATATTTTATATTTGAGATTCTTCAAATAGCCACCCTTTGCCTTGATGACAGCTTTGCACACTCTTGGCATTCTCTTAACCATCTTCACCTTGAATGCTTTTCCAACAGTCTTGAAGGAGTTCCCACATATGCTGAGCACTTGTTGGCTGCTTTTCCTTCACTCTGCCGTCCAACTCAACCCAAACCATCTAAATTTGGTTGAGGTCGGGGGATTGTGGAGGCCAGGTCTTCTGATGCAGCACTCATCACAATCCTTGGTAAAATAGCCCTTACACAGCCAGGAGGTGTGTTGGGTCATTGTCCTGTTGAAAAACAAATGATAGTCCCACTAAGCCCAAACCAGATGGGATGGCATATCGCTGCAGAATGCTGTGGTAGCCATGCTGGTTAAGTAATTGGCTGAAACACATTAAGAAGGAAAGAAGTTCCACAAATTAACTTTAAGAAGGCACACCTGTTAATTGAAATGCTTTCCAGGTGACTACCTCATGAAGCTGGTTGAGAGAATGCCAAGAGTGTGCAAAGCCATCATCAAGGCAAAGGGTGGCTATTTGAAGAATCTCAAATATAAAATATATTTAGATTTGTTTAACACTTCTTTTGGTTACTACATGATTCCATATGTGTTATTTCATAGTTTTGATGTCTTCACTATTATTCTACAAAGTAGAAAATAGTAAAAAATAAAGAATAACCCTTGAATGAGTAGGTGTGTCCAAACTTTTGACTGGTAATATATATATATATATTACAGGTTAGTACTTCTCGTCCTATATGAGCTAGTTGGAGGTTAGTACCATTCCTCCTATATGAGGTAATAGGAGATTAGTACTTCTCCTATATGAGGTTGGTACTTCTCCTCCTATAAGAGGTAGTAGGAGGTTGGTACTTCTCCTCCTATAAGAGGTAGTAGGAGGTTGGTACTTCTCCTCCTATAAGAGGTAGTAGGAGGTTGGTACTTCTCCTCCTATAAGAGGTAGTAGGAGGTTGGTACTTCTCCTCCTATAAGAGGTAGTAGGAGGTTGGTACTTCTCCTCCTATAAGAGGTAGTAGGAGGTTGGTACTTCTCCTCCTATAAGAGGTAGTAGGAGGTTGGTACTTCTCCTCCTATAAGAGGTAGTAGGAGGTTGGTACTCCTATGTGAGGTTAGTCCTCCTCCTACAGTGAGGGGAAAAAAGTATTTGATCCCCTGCTGATTTTGTACGTTTGCCCACTAACAAAGAAATGATCAGTGTATAATTTTAATGGTAGGTTTATTTGAACAGTGAGAGACAGAATAACAACAACAAAATCCAGAAAAACGCATGTCAAAATGTTATAAATTGATTTGCGTTTTAATGAGGGAAATAAGTATTTGACCGCTCTGCAAAACATGACTTAGTACTTGGTGGCAAAACCCTTGTTGGTAATCACAGAGGTCAGACGTTTCTTGTAGTTGGCCACCAGGTTTGCACACATCTCAGGAGGGATTTTGTCCCACTCCTCTTTGCAGATCTTGGAGAGGCTGACGTTTGGCAACTCAAACCTTCAGCTCCCTCCACAGATGTTCTATGGGATTAAGGTCTGGAGACTGGCTAGGCCACTCCAGGACCATAATGTGCTTCTTCTTGAGCCACTCCTTTGTTGCCTTGGCCGTGTGTTTTGGGTAATTGTCATGCTGGAATACCCATCCACGACCCATTTTCAATGCCCTGGCTGAGGGAAGGAGGTTAGTACCTCTCCTATATGAGGTTGATACCTCTCCTATATGAGGTAGTAGGAGGTTAGTACCTCTCCTATATGAGGTAGTAGGAGGTTAGTACCTCTCCTATATGAGGTAGTAGGAGGTTAGTACCTCTCCTATATGAGGTAGTAGGAGGTTAGTACCTCTCCTATATGAGGTAGTAGGAGGTTAGTACCTCTCCTATATGAGGTTGATACTGCTCCTATATGAGGTAGTAGGAGGTTAGTACCTCTCCTATATGAGGTAGTAGGAGGTAAGTACCTCTCCTATATGAGGTAGTAGGAGGTTAGTACCTCTCCTATATGAGGTAGTAGGAGGTTAGTACCTCTCCTATATGAGGTAGTAGGAGGTTAGTACCTCTCCTATATGAGGTAGTAGGAGGTTAGTACCTCTCCTATATGAGGTAGCAGGAGGTTAGTACCTCTCCTATATGAGGTAGTAGGAGGTTAGTACCTCTCCTATATGAGGTAGTAGGAGGTTAGTACCTCTCCTATATGAGGTAGCAGGAGGTTAGTACCTCTCCTATATGAGGTAGTAGGAGGTTAGTACCTCTCCTATATGAGGTAGCAGGAGGTTAGTACCTCTCCTATATGAGGTAGTAGGAGGTTAGTACCTCTCCTATATGAGGTAGTAGGAGGTTAGTACCTCTCCTATATGAGGTAGTAGGAGGTTAGTACCTCTCCTATATGAGGTAGTAGGAGGTTAGTACCTCTCCTATATGAGGTAGTAGGAGGTTAGTACCTCTCCTATATGAGGTAGTAGGAGGTTAGTACCTCTCCTATATGAGGTAGTAGGAGGTTAGTACCTCTCCTATATGAGGTAGTAGGAGGTTAGTACCTCTCCTATATGAGGTAGCAGGAGGTTAGTACCTCTCCTATATGAGGTAGTAGGAGGTTAGTACCTCTCCTATATGAGGTAGTAGGAGGTTAGTACCTCTCCTATATGAGGTAGTAGGAGGTTAGTACCTCTCCTATATGAGGTAGTAGGAGGTTAGTACCTCTCCTATATGAGGTAGTAGGAGGTTAGTACCTCTCCTATATGAGGTAGTAGGAGGTTAGTACCTCTCCTATATGAGGTAGTAGGAGGTTAGTACCTCTCCTATATGAGGTAGTAGGAGGTTAGTACCTCTCCTATATGAGGTAGTAGGAGGTTAGTACCTCTCCTATATGAGGTAGTAGGAGGTTAGTACCTCTCCTATATGAGGTAGTAGGAGGTTTGTAATGGCAGGCTAAAGATCTTCTCAATGTCCTATTAGTTTCCCCCTTAGCCTTGTGGGCTAGATCTATTGACTTAGCCTGTTTCCCAGATCTGTCTGTCAACTCCTTGTCACTCATTGCCATGCCAAGGAGCTGACGTGATAGCACAAACAAATCTGGAACCAGGCTACTAAAGTCCAGGTTCTCCCATGACATATGGTAAACATGACATGGGCCTATTTCCCCCCATACTGTAACAAAAGCTACTGGGCACAGTCAAAACACATTCCCTGACTGTAACCTCCCAAGCAGCTCTGCCTCTCTTTTTTTCTATTGGTTCTTTCCTATTGACCTTTCAGTTCTGTTGTTCCTCCAGTTCCCAGTACCATGCCTGGTAAGTGACGCGGTGGCGATGGAAGGAAAAGGGCCCTATCGTATCTACGACCCAGGCGGGGTTGAGGCTAAGGCCAGAGAGGCCAGGGAGGAGGGCAGCAGCAGTGGAATGGGCAGCTACAGACAACTACTGGAAGAGAATAACGTCCTCAGAGAGAGGATGAAGGGACTCAAGAGCTTGGGTAAGTACCTGCTTTTCTGATATAGCCTACCTCTCTGGTCTAGATCACCAGCTCTTTATTGTGATCCTAATCGGATATAGCCTACCTCTCTGGTCTAGATCACCAGCTCTTTATTATGATCCTAATCTGATATAGCCTACCTCTCTGGTCTAGATCACCAGCTCTTTATTATGATCCTAATCTGATATAGCCTACCTCTCTGGTCTAGATCACCAGCTCTTTATTATGATCCTAATCTGATATAGCCTACCTCTCTGGTCTATATCACCAGCTCTTTATTATGATTCTAATCTGATATAGCCTACCTCTCTGGTCTAGATCACCAGCTCTTTATTATGATCCTAATCTGATATAGCCTACCTCTCTGGTCTTGATCACCAGCTCTTTATTATGATCCTAATCTGATATAGCCTACCTCTCTGGTCTAGATCACCAGCTCTTTATTACGATCCTAATCGGATATAGCCTACCTCTCTGGTCTAGATCACCAGCTCTTTATTGTGATCCTAATCGGATATAGCCTACCTCTCTGGTCTAGACCACCAGCTCTTTATTATGATCCTAATCTGATATAGCCTACCTCTCTGGTCTAGATCACCAGCTCTTTATTATGATCCTAATCGGATATAGCCTACCTCTCTTGGCTAGATCACCAGCTCTTTATTATGATCCTAATCGGATATAGCCTACCTCTCTGGTCTAGATCACCAGCTCTTTATTATGATCCTAATCGGATATAGCCTACCTCTCTGGTCTAGATCACCAGCTCTTTATTATGATCCTAATCGGATATAGCCTACCTCTCTGGTCTAGATCACCAGCTCTTTATTATGATCCTAATCGGATATAGCCTACCTCTCTGGTCTAGATCACCAGCTCTTTATTATGATCCTAATCTGATATAGCCTACCTCTCTGGTCTAGATTACCAGCTCTTTATTATGATCCTAATCGGATATAGCCTACCTCTCTGGTCTAGATCACCAGCTCTTTATTATGATCCTAATCTGATATAGCCTACCTCTCTGGTCTAGATCACCAGCTCTTTATTATGATCCTAATCGGATATAGCCTACCTCTCTGGTCTAGATCACCAGCTCTTTATTATGATCCTAATCGGATATAGCCTACCTCTCTGGTCTAGATCACCAGCTCTTTATTGTGATCCTAATTGGATATAGCCTACCTACATTTTAGTCATTTACCTCTCTGGTCTAGATCACCAGCTCTTTATTGTGATCCTAATCTGATATAGCCTACCTCTCTGGTCTAGATCACTAGCTCTTTATTATGATCCTAATCGGATATAGCCTACCTCTCTGGGCTACATCACCAGCTCTTTATTGTGATCCTAATCTGATATAGCCTACCTCTCTGGTCTAGATCACCAGCTCTTTATTACGATCCTAATCGGATATAGCCTACCTCTCTGGTCTAGATCACCAGCTCTTTATTGTGATCCTAATCTGATATAGCCTACCTCTCTGGTCTAGATCACCAGCTCTTTATTGTGATCCTAATCGGATATAGCCTACCAATGCCACTGGGTTAGACCGTAGACCTGGGTTAACTACATCTGATCTGACCACTGTACAGAACATCAGTAGACCTGGGTTAACTACATCTGATCTGACCACTGTACAGAACAGCAGTACATTTACATTTTAGTCATTTAGCAGACGCTCTTATCCAGAGCGACTTACAGTTAGTGAGTGCATACATTATTTTTATTTTTTTCATACTGGCCCCCCGTGGGAATCGAACCCACAACCCTGGCGTTGCAAACGCCATGCTCTACCAACCGAGCTACATCCCTGCCGGCCATTCCCTCCCCTACCCTGGACGACGCTGGGCCAATTGTGCGCCGCCCCATGGGTCTCCCGGTCGCGGCCGGCTATGACAGATGGTTAACTACATCTGATCTGACAGATCTCAACACCATACCCTACACAACCAGGACCTCAACCCTCGTCACACTCTCATCTGTCTAGATTAGTGTTGTGACCTATAACATTATAGCTACATATTCCGTTCGCATAGCCTTGTAGGAAGAATGTGGTTAGGCCTGATTCCATTCTTTGGTTATATGCTGTAATGTTTGCAGGGAGTTTTCTCTATAGTGAGCGTTGGGTTGGCGTGGTCCATTCTTTGGTAGTGTGCTGTTTCTCTGTAATGAGTAATGTTCTCAGGGCCGGCATGATTTAGTTGTTAGTCATCAGAAGCACTAGTTACTGTCTGTCCTTGATGTATTATAGGCCATGAATAACATATTCAGCTATATGCCACAACCCAAAATGAACACGTGACTGACTAGGCCTACTTCAAATCAAAGATGTTTCTAACCTTCTGTCTGTCCTGGTGTGTAGGAGACCTGTTGGAGGAGTCTCAGTCGGAGGCGTCTACGTTGCGTCAGCGTGTCGAGGAGCTGGTCAGAGACAACGAGGCCCTGAAGTCTTCTACCTCCAGCTTCTGTACAGGAGGACCTGTTCAGACTGAGACACCGGGTATGGTATCAGAGATGGCTTTTCTACATTATTATTATTCATGATTTACAGCAGGATGTTATCGTCAATGGCCCAGTGCATTCAAACGTGTGATTGTCCTGTGTTTTTATATGTTCATTTCCACACTGAGGTTGGAGTAAATCTGTAAATTTTTTGAAAATGATAATGACATTTTAGTGTAAGAGCTGTTTGAAAAGACCACCTGAAATGTTCAGCCTGTTTTGGTGGGATGGAGTTCTGGGTAAATTAGTCAATAGACCAATAAGAAATAGATCCTAATCTCTCTGTCAATAACAGCTAATCTCCATACCACTCCCAGACAGTCATATCAAAATTATTGCTTGAGAAATTGCACTTTGCTAAGAAGCTATTTTTAATTTCTTTTTGACCATTTTCATTGAAAACAATCACAGTAAGGTACTTAGCAGTGCTGTGACTATATAATGACACTATAACTGTATGATGACTCCTGACTGTTTCAGGTCAGGGGAAGCTTCACCGCCAGCCCAGTATGGACCAGAGAGAGAGTCGGCCGTGTCTCTCAACGGGGAAGGCCCTACATCATGAGCAGCCCAGTGTAAGTAAACAGATATGACTTTATAGCTACAGAGTACTTTATATTTTATAGATATCAGGATGACCAGCCCAGTGTAAGTAAACAGATATGACTTTATAGCTACAGAGTACTTTATATTTTATAGATATCAGGATGAGCAGCCCAGTGTAAGTAAACAGATATGACTTCATAGCTACAGAGTACTTTATATTTTATAGATATCAGGATGAGCAGCCCAGTGTAAGTAAACAGATATTACTTCATAGCTACAGAGTACTTTATATTTTATAGATATCAGGATGAGCAGCCCAGTGTAAGTAAACAGATATTACTTCATAGCTACAGAGTACTATATATTTTATAGATATCAGGATGAGCAGCCCAGTGTAAGTAAACAGATATTACTTCATAGCTACAGAGTACTTTATATTTTATAGATATCAGGATGAGCAGCCCAGTGTAAGTAAACAGATGTTACTTTATAGCTATAGAGTACTTTATATTTTATAGATATCAGGATGAGCAGCCCAGTGTAAGTAGACAGATATTACTTTATAGCTACAGAGTACTTTATATTTTATAGATATTGTTGATCAGGCTGAGCAGCCCAGAACATAAAGTACAACCTCATCAGCCTACAACCTCATCAGCCTGAAACATAACATTTACATGTCAGGTGGTGTTGTGCTTTTATGTCTTTCTCAACTGGTTTATGGCTTCCAGCAAAGGCTAACTGATAGTAGTTTTCATTTTAAACGGTTCACTTACGTTCAGTACCTTGTAGCTACAAGTGTCAAACCCCGGGACCATATTGGTTAGCTAAATAGTCATATTGGTTTACTTAAAGGGATAGTTCCGGATTTTGGCAATGAAGCCCTTTTTCTACTTCCCCAGAGTTGGGGGAACTCGTGGATACATTTTTTTTGGGGCTCTGCGTGTAGTTTGAAGGAAGTTGCTAACTAGCGTTAGTGCAACATGCTAGCTGTTCTCATAGACTTCAAGTCATTGCGCTAACGCTAGTTAGCCTTGGCTCAGGAAACTACCTCTAACTTCCTCCTTACTGGACGCAGAGGCATAAAAAAGGTTTCCACAAGTTCATCTGACTCTGGGGAAGTAGATAAAGAGCTTCATTGACAAAATCCCAAAGTATCCCTTTAACACTGTTCAGTCTGGATCTATTCCAGTTTGTCATTGTCCTGTTTGGTGCTTGTAGGAAGGTCTGTCAGAGTTTGAGGTGGTGAACATGGAGGAGAAGACCTCCGATACCCAGACGGTAAGTACCAATTTTCACACGGGGCTAGCTAACAATAACGGGGCTCAAATGGGATGTTTTGAAAACGATCCAGGTTCTTTATGTAAATTGGTTGTTTAATCCATAAAGGTGTTCAGGACCACTCAATGCATCTGTTTGTGTCTAGATAGATCACGTTCAACTTCCAATCAAAACAGTTAACCTGTTCAACTCGTGAGCAAGTTGCGTAATTGTTGAGGTGACATATATATTTTAGTTAAAATCTCTTATTCACCAACCAGGGGACAATTGGGGTGAGTCCCCAGAAAAAGTAAATGTATCTTTTTTGGGGGGAACTTCTGTATCTCTGTATTAGTCCCATTTGTTTCTGACACCTTCATCAGTATTCCAGTTGTTACCTTTCTTACAGCACTAAGCATGTGTTTGTAGGACGTATCGTTCTGAAACTGAAGTGTACTGCGTCGTTTAGAAAATGCCACCAGAGTTAAAGAGGTTAAAACCATTGAACGTGTAATTTTATACCTGGTGAAGAATCTAAGAGCTTGAAAGCAGCTCCTCAAGTTTCATTTCCTTAGCTCTCTAGCTCTCTGGTCATTTCTTCCATATCAGAAACTTATCCTGTGTCTCTTCTCTAGTGAGTCAACAGCCAACTAACTCAATACTGGTAGCTCAACATGAGTCGGCACAGGGAATGTCCACGATGTATTACTGACCACACACACTCACTCTCACACTCTCTCACACACACACACACACACACTCACACACACACACACACACACACACACACACACACACACACACACACACACACACACACACACACTCACTCTCACACTCTCTCACACACACACACACACACACACACACACACAAATGTGCTGTTAGGGAATGCCTGACATGGAAGAATGGCAGTCACAGAATATTCCGGCTAGATATGGTATAGAATCAAATGACCGTCACCTGATATACGCATCATCAGCCAAAGTATAGGAAAACGGTGACCCATTTTGGCACGTCTATAGACCTGAGCTCCTTATGAACGTTTCAGCACCTCTGACTCAATCTCAATGGAGTTTTGCTTCATTGTACAATATTGCACAACATGTATAGTACTGCATTGCATATAGGATATGGAGCATTACCTACATGACCAATCAACACGGAGGAGGGACCGAGTCTCCCTTGTGTGCCAGTCTATCTATCTACATGCTGTAGGATTCAGATGGGATTTGTCCTTTTTATTTTTATACATCCAGTATCTTCAAAACTGGAGAGCTAGAAATGTATGTGGTGTTGACATTACTTGATTAGTGTCCTGTCCAATCAGTATGGTGGTACAGAGGGTCTGACTGGTTTCTCTCAGGTCCTCAGTTTTTACTATTATTTAACTCTCTTTTTTTATCGATCTTAATGTCATATTTGTCTAGAAAATGTATTGTTTTGAAGTGCTATATAAATAAAGTTTGATTTGATCTCCAGACTGGTACAGGAGCAGGGCAGCTACCTCCGGAGAACCAGGAGTTAGCCAGCCAGCTGCAGCGTCTAGAAAGCTCCTTCAGTATCTTTGCTGAGGAGTCCAACCCCAACCAACTCCTAGCCCACCTGGGACGCATGGCCGTCGAGTTCCACCACCTCTCCTCCAAGGTCCAGAAGAACGAGCAGAGGACGTCCCTCCTACAGGTAACTGACAGGGAGAGGGGCAGGTTGGGAGACAGACAGGCTGAGAAGTAAACGGGTTGTCCACACAGGTATTTCAAAGACTGGAAATTCAGCATGTCACCTGAATAGCGAATAACTATTGTGTGTTTGTCATTCCTGATGCTGAACCAAATTATGTTGCAAAACCAAGGCAGCGTCTACTCTTCCTGGGGTCCAATTAGGAAACAAAACACAACAAATAATATACATTACACAATACATATAATTCAAAATACAATACAAAATATATCAAAATGTCTCTGTTCACAGTCCCCGTCGTGCCGTAAGGTGCTCTTTTATCTGTTTTTTGAAACTGGTTTTATTGCTAGCTTGGGTTACCTGGGGTGGCAGAGAGTTCCATGTAGTCATGGCTCTATTTAATACTGTGTGTTCCCCAGCCTCTGTTCTGGAGCTGGGGACTGTGAAGAGACCTCTGGCTGCATGTCTCGTGTTGAACCAATGAGTGTCCGAACTGTGTGCCAACTGCTTAAAACAGACAATTCGGTACCTTCAACACATCAATACCTCACAGAAAGACCAATAGTGATGCAGTCAATCTCTCCTCAACTTTGAGCCAGGAGAGATTGACATGCATGTCATTGACATTCGCCCTCTGTGTACATCTAAGTGCAATACGTGCTGATCTGTTCTGGACCAACTGCAATTTTCCTACGTCCTTCTTTGCCACACATGACCACACAACTGGGCAGTCGTCCAGGTGCGACAAAACCCGGGCCACAGGAACTGCTTGGTTGATTTTAGATGTCAAGAAAGCAGAGCAATGCCTTATCAAGGACAGACCTCTTCCCATTTTGTTTTTTGCAACCATTGAGTCTGTTTTCAGCAGGACAGCTTGCTATTCCCTTTGCCTCATCCCTCTCAGCCATACAGTTGATTCTTTTTTGTACTTTTTAAAAAACATTTTTAGTCATTTAGCAGACGCTCTTATCCAGAGCAACTTACAGTTAGTGAGTGCATACATTTTTCATACTGGCCCCCCGTGGGAAAAGAACCCACAACCCTGGCGTTGCAAGGGCCATGCTCTACCAACTGAGCTACAGGGGACTACCTGGATTTTTCAATTCTTCTATTCATGGGGATTTGGCAGTTCTAACACTCAGTTTTGTGATGGGCGCATGCCTATCAGTAACCGGAAAAGCAATTTCATAAATGCTTCAAGTGCGGCATCCGGTTGTTCCTCATTACACACATCAGATCAACAAATATTTTTCACATATTTGACATAGGAATCATTGCAAAACCTCTTGTATAATCGATAATACACAATTTTACTTCCAAATCTTTGGAACTTTGTTTTTTCTAGATATGGCTATTATATAATGATCACTACATCCAATGGGTGTGGATACTGCTTTAGAGCAGATTTCTGCCGCATTAGTAAAGATGTGGTCAATACACGTGGGTGATTTTAGTTCCTGTTCTGTTCTGTAAATACCCTGGTAGGTTGACTGATAACCTGAACCAGATTGCAGGTATCAGTTACAGCTTGAAGCTTCTTTTTGAGTGGACAGCTTGATGACAACCAGTCAATATTTAGGTCACCCAGAAAATATACCTCTCTGTTGAGATCACATACATTATCGAGCATTTTACACACACAGTCCAAATATGGACTTTTAGCACTCCGTGGTTCTAGCAACTTCCTACGAGAATAGGCTTTAGGGAGCCATATTACTGCCATGTCAACAACGGTGTTCAAGATGATGTTGTAGTCCTTCAGATTGCCAAAAGCGAATGTCGTTAAAGCCAACGTGAGTGACGATGGTGCCAGTATTAGAGTAGTTGGCTAGAAATGTGGGCAGGAGGGAGTTGACGTATTGGACGCGGGCACCTGGGTGACAGTGGACCATGGTCGGCCCACAGGCCGTAGGCAGGCCAATGTCTCTCGCCATCGAGCTGCCCACGATGACGGTGGTTGTGATGGAGTCTGATGGTGAGGGAACAGGGAACAGGTCGGTCAGGGGGGAGGTGTGCGTCTTGGTACAGGAGGAGAGTGCTGTCTTACTAATGCTTGTCCCTCTGTTTGTCTAGACTCTTTGTATTTGTATTTATTATGGATCCCCATTAGTTCCTGCCAAGGCAGCAGCTACTCTTCCTGGGGTTTATTATGGATCCCCCTTAGTTCCTGCCAAGGCAGCAGCTACTCTTCCTGGGGTTTATTATGGATCCCCATTAGTTCCTGCCAAGGCAGCAGCTACTCTTCCTGGGGTTTATTATGGATCCCCATTAGTTCCTGCCAAGGCAGCAGCTACTCTTCCTGGGGTTTATTATGGATCCCCATTAGTTCCTGCCAAGGCAGCAGCTACTCTTCCTGGGGTTTATTATGGATCCCCATTAGTTCCTGCCAAGGCAGCAGCTACTCTTCCTGGGGTTTATTATGGATCCCCATTTAGTTCCTGCCAAGGCAGCAGCTACTCTTCCTGGGGTTTATTATGGAGCCCCATTTAGTTCCTGCCAAGGCAGCAGCTACTCTTCCTGGGGTTTATTATGGATCCCCATTTAGTTCCTGCCAAGGCAGCAGCTACTCTTCCTGGGGTCCAAACACATGAAAGTACTTACATTACATATAAACCAAAAGATAAAACAGTGGTGTTCCATGAGGTGTATTTTTACCTTTTAAAAAAAAAAATCTGATTCTACTGCTTGCATCAGTTACCTGATGTTGAATAGAGTTCCATGTAGCCATGGTTCTATGTAGTACTGTGCGCCTCCCATAGTCTGTTCTGGACTTGGGGACTGTGAAGAGACCTCTGGTGTCATGTCTTGTGGGGTATTCATGGGTGTCCAAGCTGTGTGCTAGTATTTTAAACAGACAGCTCGGTACATTTAGCTTGTCAACACTTCTTACAAAAACAAGTAGTGATGAAGTCAATCTCTCTTCCACTTTGAGCCATGAGAGATTGACATGCATGTCATTAATGTTAGCACTCCGTGTACTTTTAAGGGCCAGCCGTGCTGCCCTGTTCTGAGCCAACTGCAATTTTCCCAAGTCCCTCTTTGTGGCACCTGACCACACGACTGAACAGTAGTCCAGGTGCGACGAAACTAGAGCCTGTAGGACCTGCCTTGTTGATAGTGTTGTTAGGAAGGCAGAGTTGCGCTTTATTATGGACAGACTTCTCCCCATCTTAGCTACTGGTGTATCAATGTTTTGACCGTGTCAGTTTACAATCCAGGGTTACTCCAAGCAGTTTAGTCACCTCAACTTGCTCAATTTCCACATTATTTATTATGAGATGTAGTTGAGGTTTAGTGAGCAGCTCAGAGAGGAGAGTGCTGTGTTACTAATGCTTGTCCCTCTGTTTGTCTAGACTCTTTGTGAGCAGCTCAGACAGGAGAACAATGAGCTGAGAAAGAAGATGGAGGAGGACCTTCAGTACAGAAACGGTGACTTGGAACAGCTGAGGTGAGTTTTGAATTTTCTCTGGATTCAGTTGGACTTTCAGCTCCCCAGGGGAGAGAAGGAGTTTGAGTTTATTATTGTGAATTGAAACTGAATGTTGGCTTTATACTGTTTTCTGCTCCAAAGTCAAGTTTAGGACTTTGTTGGCGTTTATTGAGCTTAAATAAAGGCAATAAACACTTGGTAGTCAGTAAGCGATGAGTAGACTTCTTTTTCACTATGATTCTCTGTCCAGCAACTACAAAGCTTCAAGTGAAGTGACAGTTGGTCAAAGTTTTGTTTTTGATGATTCTGGAATTGCCCTAATATTCTCCCTACCTCAGTGGGACTGTAGGGTCTTCCCAGAGGATATCCTATGGCTCTGCCAAGTTGCACATTACTCTACTAAACACTGGGATAGATATTATAGATATCTCCATAACTGCATAGTAACACTAACCCTGCTTTCACTCTCTGGTCACTGCAGACAGGAGAACACGAAGCTGAAAGAGCTGGTAACGGGAGGAGGAGATACTGCAACGGAGAGCGAGGGTCAGCCAGAAGCCAAAGAAGATGTGGTGAAAGAGGAAACTGCCAGCGTTAGATCCAAGATGGAGGTCAGCACACCACAGAAGGTATGCAAATCCTGCCCCAGAATGGATGGGATGGCACCTGTCTGATTCAGAGGACATTTTTAAAAGCTGGGAGAGGGAAAGGGCAAATGATCAGCATAGACGTCTAGTTTGAGTATTGTCAGTTTGAGTCAGGTCATTGCCAGGCATCACAGTAGTGGGATAGTTAGCATGACTAATGTCTCATCCTAACGTACAGTACATGTGACTGCCTGTAGCTCTACTGTAATGTTGGTGTGTGGGATCTTTCTCATAGTGTCACATTGGTCAGTGTATAATGTCTGTGAGAGACTTCCCAGGTCTCTCTTGCAAATGCTTTAAATAAAAAATATGACACAGCTTGTATAAATGGTGATCTGTACCAGTGCGGGGGAATTTAAGCGTGATGTTTCATATCCCTGTCCTGTTGCAGAGTGGGCTCTATGAATGAATTAAGTTAATTTTTAAATAATGCATTGCAAAATGCATCATATGATGCAAAACGCGTCATTGTGATGTGACAATTTTGCTTCTTGAAAACGTGATTGCTGACATGAGAAAACATTTTGCCACTGTGTCAACAGTGGACTAATGAAAACAAATACAAAAAAAAACGGTTTGGAGTGGAATATTCCTTTTTTAAGAATCATCATGTTTTATATCCCTGTCCAACAGCAGAGTGGGAAAGCCCCAGAGAAGGAGAAAGCCCCGGCCAAGCCCTGTGACCCAGAGGCCTATGAGAAGAAAATCAAGCTTCTAGAGAAGCAGAGGAAAGACGTGAGTCCCTCTCCTCTCAACGTTACATCAGGTGTCCTCTTTTACATATGGAAAGGTCTTTGTGAAAAATGTGGATGTTGCGGCTCAAATGACACCCTATTCTCTTTTTTATAGTGCACTACTTTTGACCAGGGTCCATGGTAGTGCACTATAAAAGAGAATAGGGTGACATTTGGGACGCACATTTTTGATAAGGTGTCCTGTTTCCTTGTGGGGAAGTCTGTGCAAAATGTGTATATGACGTATTGGTTTCAGTTATATTTCTGTTGTGATGATGATGATGATGATGATGATGATGATGATGATGATGATGACAGGTACTGGACGTGAACAAGCAGTGGGATGTCCAGTGGAACTCTATGAAGTCACAGTTTGAACAGAAGGTATGTTATCACACACTCTCACACACAGTCTTGTTTACTGTGTGTTCATCTAATAACCTGTGTGTGGTGATGGAAAAGGTGCAGTCGTGTGTGTGTGTGTGTGTACTTGGATGGCACCCAGGCTGTGTACGAGTCAACCACATGTTCTAGTCATACATCAGTCAGAAATCCCCTTACCTCTCGGGTACCCACTGTTCCTGCTGTGGTCCACACACTGAGACACACACACACACACACTGAGACACACACTGAGACACACACACACTGAGACACATACACACACACACTGAGACACACACACACTGAGACACATACACACACACACTGAGACACACACACAGACACACACACACACACACACTGAGACACACACACACACTGAGACACACACACACACACTGAGACACACACACTGAGACACACGCCCACACAAACTCCAATGGCTCAGAGGTTTGACCCCATGTATCCTTGAGTCTAACCCCAAACTGCTCAACATATCGTTTTGTGTTATTCTGCTGGGTCTGAAATGATGATTCTGATCATCTGTTTGTCTCATTGAAAAGACATACTCCCTGTTTTTAAAACAGTTTGAACCCCCTCCCCCCTCCCCTCCAATCAGATCACAGACCTGCGTCAGCGGCTGGCGGACTCCCAGAAGGCCGTGCAGGAGTTAGAGACGGAGCGAGAACAGAGACAGCGGGACTACGATAAGAAGCTGCTGCTTGCCAAGTCCAAGATCGAGAACGTCCAGGTGAGAATGTACAGAAACCTAGTACAGACCCAACAATGTCCTCAAGACGTATACAAACCCAACAACACACACATACACGGAACATCTTTGCTGTGTGAGTGTGCAGTCTTCACTGCAATGAACACGTTAGTGACAACAGCTCCAACCCAGCCCACTCAGAATAGCCATGCTTCCTTGAGTATCTCTCACCTGTCTGTTTGTCACAATGACTGTATATGAATGGACTCAATAGCGCATTTGAACCCAAGGAAGTCATATATGTATGTAGACATAACATGCACGGATTAAGCTACTCCAGGAAGTGACGTCGCAGGCTAACTCAGTGCTGCCCCCTCTCATTGAGTATCTCAAGTTGAAGGCCAACCGGGGTACTGCAGGCTGCCAGTAGCAACTGAATTATCCTGATAACTTCTGTGTGCGTTTTTATTAATTTTTTATCAGTTCAAGGAAATACAGTACCAGTCAAAATGTTGGACACACCTACTCATTCAAGGGTTTTTTATTTATTTTTTACATTTTCTACATTTGTAGAATAATAGTGAAGACATCAAAACAATTAAATAACATTTATGGAATCATGTAGTAACCCAAATATATTTGAGGTTCTTCAAAGTAGTCACCCTTTGCCTTGATGACAGCTTTGCACACTCTTGGCATTCTCTCAACCAGCTTCATGAGGAATGCTTTTCCAACAATCTTGAAGGAGTTCCCTCATATGCTGAGCACTTGTTGGCTGCTTTTCCTTCACTCTGCGATCCGACTCATCCCAAACCATCTCAATTGGGTTGAGGTCGGGGGATTGTGGAGGCCAGGTCATCTGATGCAGCACTCCATCACTCTCCTTCTTGGTCAAATAGCCCTTAACCAGCCTGGAGGTGTGTTGGGTCATTGTCCTGTTGAAAATCAAATGATAGTCCCACTAAGCCCAAACCAGATGGGATGGCGTATCGCTGCAGAATGCTGTGGTAGCCATGCTGGTTAAGTATGCCTTGAATTCTAAATAAATCACAGTGTCACCAGCAAAGCACCCCCACACCATCACACCTCATCCATGCTTCACGGTGAGAACCACACATATGGAGATCATATGGACTTGGTCTTTTACCAAATAGGTAAAAGACCCCCTACCTTGTCACAACACAACTGATTGGCTCAGATTGGCATTAAATCTTAAATTAACTTTTAAGAAGGCACACCTGTTAATTGAAATGCATTTTGGTTGAAAGAATAGCCGCTGTACTGTCCCCTGGTCTGGCCTTACAGAGCATCACATTTCTGCTTACAGGAAGTTACTTAATTGGGGGTCATAAGGTTGAATATTCCCAAATTGTACATATTTGTGACCGGGGGACCGTCATGACCCAGCAATGAAATTTGAAGTAAATTGACCCAAAGGCATTTTTACCTCCATTGGTCTAGATTCTGAAGAGGATATTGGTCTATTTACTTGAAACTGTCTGCCTGCCTGCCTGCCGGTCGGCCGGCCTGTCTGTCTGTGGGAGAGAGAAGGGGGAGAGAGATCAAAATCACATTTTGTCACATGCGCCGAATAACCCAACATGTGTAGACTTTACCGTGAAATATTTAGTTATGAGCCCTTAACCAACAACGCAGAGTTAAAAAGTAAGAACAATTAGCAAAATAATAAAAAGGAAATAGTAACACAAAATAACAATAATGAGGCTATATACTAGGAGTACCAGTACTGAGTCAATGTGCAGGGTTACCAGGTAGTAATGAGGCTATATGCAAGGAGTACCAGTACTGAGTCAATGTGCAGGGTTACCAGGTAGTAATGAGGTTATATACAAGGAGTACCAGTACTGAGTCAATGTGCAGGGTTACCAGGTAGTAATGAGGCTATATACAAGGAGTACCAGTACTGAGTCAATGTGCAGGGTTACCAGGTAGTAATGAGGCTATATACAAGGAGTACCAGTACTGAGTCAATGTGGAGGGATACCAGGTAGTTGAGGTAATATGTACATGTAGGTATGGGTAAAAGTGACTAGGCAATCAGGATAGATAATAAACAGAGCAGGAGCAGCGTATGTGAAGAGTGTGAAACAGTGTCTGTGTGTGTTAGGGCTGACCACAATTAGTTGACTGGTCGATTGTTTGGTCGACCGAGATTTCTTTAGTGAGTGCTCTTATTATTTTTTTGACACGACACATGGGGTGTAATCATTAAGCCGATTCTGTTGCCAAACTTTTCTTAAACTGAAGCAAACTGAACAAAACGGGGACCTACCTGAACTTGTCTAATAGACACTGGTTTTTGCTCTGTTTGCTTCCGTTTGGTTCATGAACGGTAAACGGTTTCCGTGATGAATACACCCCTGTCTGATTCGCTCCCGTCTCAGTGGACTAATCCATTGCGGAGGCCGCGGGGATGGCACAGTCCATCACTCTAAGACATACAGTGCATTCGGAAAGTATTCAGACCCCTTGACCTTTTCCACATTTTGTTACGTTACAGCCTTGTTCTAAAATGGATTAAATTGTTTTTTCCCCTCATCAATCTACACACAATACCCCATAATGACAAAGCAAGAACAGGTTTTTTGAAATGTTTGCAAATGTATTAAAAATACAAACGGAAATATCACATTTACATAAGTATATTTACCCTTTACTCAGTACTTTGTTGAAGCACCTTTGGCAGCGATTACAGCCTTGAGTCTTCTTGGGTATGACGCTACAAGCTTGGCACACCTGTATTTGGGGAGTTTCTCCCATTTCTTCTCTGCAGATCCTCTCAAGCTCTGTCAGGTTGGATGGGGAGCGTCGCTGCACAGCTATTTTCAGGTCTCTACAGGGCTATAGACGAGTACTGAGTCAATGGGAAGGGATACCAGGTAGTTGAGATAATTGACGTAATATTCACATGTACGGTGCCTTCAAAGTATTCATACCCCTTCACCTAATCCACATTTTGGGTTACAGCCGGAATTCAAAATGGATGTAAAAAAAAAAATTTTTTTAGAAATGTTTGCTAATTTACATATATATATTAAATATCTAATTTACGTAAGTAGTCACATCCCTGAGTCAATACTTTGTAGAAGCACCTTTGGCAGTGATTACAGCTGAGTCTTTCTGGGTAAGTCTCTAAGTGCTTTCCACACCTGGATTGTGCAACATTTGCCGTTTTATTCTCATCAAAATTCTTCAAGCTCTGTCAAATTGGTTGTTGATCATCGCTAGACAACCATTTTCAGGTCTTGCCATAGATTTGCAACTAGATTTAAGTCAAAAACTGTAACTAGGCCACTCAGGAACATTCAGTGTCTTCTTGGTAAGCAACTCCAGTGTATATTTGGCCTTGTGTTTTAGGTTATTGTCCTGCTGAAAGGGTGAATTCATCTCCCAGTGTCTGGTGGAAAGCAGACTGAACCAGGTTTTCCTCTTAAGATTTTGGCAGTGCTTTGCTCCATTCCGTTTATTTTTTATCCTGACAAACGTCCCAGTCCTTAATGATTACAAGCATACCCATAACATGATGCAGCCACCACTATGCTTGAAAATATGGAGAGTGGTACTCAGTAATGTGTTGGATTTGTCCCAAACATAACGCTTCATATTCAGGACAAAAAGTTAATTGCTTTGCCACATCTTTTGCAGTAGTACTTTAGTGCCTGGTTGCAAACAGGATGCATGTTTTAGAATATTTGTATTCTGTACAGGCATCCTTATTTTCACTCTGTCAATTAGGTTAATATTGTGGAGTAGCTACAATGTGGTTGATACATCCTCAGCTTTCTCCTGTCACAGCCATTCAACTCTGTAACTGTTTTTTAAAGTCACCATTGGCCTCATCGTAAAATCCCTGAGCGGTTTCCTTCCTCTCCAGCAACTGAGTTAGGAAGGACGCCTGTACCTTTGTAGTGTATTGATACATCATCCAAAGTGCATTGAATAACTTCACCATGCTCAAAGGGATATTCAATGTCTGCTTTTTTTCTCCCCCCATCTGCCAATAGGTGCCCTTCTTAGCGAGGAATTGGAAAACCTCCCTGGTCTTTGTGGTTGAATCTGTGTTTGAAATTGAGGGACCTTACAGATAATTGTATGTGTGGGGTACAGAGATGAGGCAGTCATTCAAAAATCATGTTAAACACTATTATTGCACAGAGTGAGTCCATGCAACTTTATTATGTGAATTGTTTTGCAAATGTTGACTCCTGAACTTAGTTAGTCTTGCCATAACAAAGGGGTTGAATACTGATTGACTCAAGACATTTCAGCTTTTAATTTTTAAATAATTAGTTAACATTTCTTAAAACATAATTCCACTTTGACATTATGGGGTGTTGTGTGTAGGCCAGTGACAAAAATCTAAATGTTATCAATTTTAAATTAAGGCTGTAACACAACAAAATGTATGTAGTCTGTGTGTGTTGGGAGTGTCAGTGTGTGGGTAGAGTCCAGCGAGTGTGCATAGATCCGGTGCAAGAGTCTGCAAAACAAAATGGGGGGCCAATGTAAATAGTCCAGGTAGCCATTTGATTAACTGTTCAGCAGTCTAATGGCTTGGGGGGTAGAAGCTGTTCAGGAGCCTTTTGGTCCCAGACAAAGGGGACCGCTTGCTGTGCGGTAGCAGAGAGAACTGGGTTGTGGTAACCTTACCCTCTGTAGCACCGTATGATCAGTTGCCATACCAGGCTGTACAACATGTTAAGGATCTGAGGCCACATGCCAAATATTTTCAGCTCCCTGAGGGGGAAGAAGCATTGTTGTGCGCTCTTTTCATGACTGTGTTGGTGTGTTTGGACCATGATAGATCCTTTAGTGATGTGGACACCGAGGAACTTTGAAGCTCTCGACCTGCTCCAAAACAGCCCCGTCGATGTGAATGGGGGCGTTCAACCCTCTTTCCTGTAGTCCTCGATCAGCTCATTTGTCTTGCTGATGTAGAGGGAGAGGGGGAGAGGGGGAGAGTCAACAGACAGACCAGTTGGAGGAGGGACGGGAGAGGGACAGTGGGTGAAAGGAGTGGGAGGGAGAGAATGAGAGGGGGAATAAGGAGTGAGAGAGAGGAGGGGGAGAGTGAGAGAGACCGACATGAGGTAAATGATAAGTACGTCAACCCTGTGACATCTTTTCCCATTGACTGAAATGTACTGAGAAAAACATCAGCTACTATGACATTTGACCTTTTTTGCGAAACATGCCAGGATGACTGTCTACATGAATGATGTGGCGCAAACCCGGGACTACGCTGGTCCAATTGTTCTCGCCCTATGGGACTCCCGATCACGGCCGGTTGTGACACAGCCTGGAATGACGGGCTGTATGACACCTCAACATGAGGCATGGACGCTGCCCACCGTCGTAGTGACGCCTCAAGCACTGAGATGCCGGCCCTTAGAGTGGCCTTAGTGACGCCTCAAGCACGCAGTGCCTAACGCTCGCCACTCGGTCTGTAGTGACGCCTCTCTATGGCCCTTAGGACTAGAGCACTGCCACCGGTCTTAGGACCCTCAGAACTGAGACCGGCCTAGTGACCGCCCGCCGCCACACGGTCTGTAGTGACGCCTCAAGCACTGAGATGCAGTGCCTTAGACCGCTGCGCCACTCGGCGTGTACGCTCGCACGAATGCAGCCTTAGACCGCCGCCCCTCTCTGTATGCAGCACAAGCACTGAGATGTCTGTGGCGCCTCAGATATACCGCGCGCCACTCGGTCTGTAGTGACGCCTCAAGCACTGAATGCAGTGCTTGACGCCAGTCGTCCTGTAGTGACGCGCTCAGCCGAATGGTGCCTTAGACCCCGCGCCACTCGGTCTGTAGTGACGCCTCAAGCACTGAGATGCAGTGCCTTAGACCGCTGCGCCACTCGGTCTGTAGTGACGCCTCTAGCACTGAGATGCAGTGCCTTAGACTGCCGCGCCACTCGGGAGCCCAGAGTGGAACATTACTCATCAGACTTTCACAGTCTGGATTAAACTGTGAATGAACTCTGAAAAAGTGGAGTTGAAGCAGGTTGTGAAATGATTGTGGTAATGTTGTGCCAATGTTGTTTTGAATGTTTTCAGGGGGAGAAGGAGTGTCTGAACTCTGAGACCACAGAGTTGAAGCAGAAGGTTCGTTACCTGCAGGATCAGCTGCTGCCCCTCAGTAAACAGAGAGAGTGCCAGGAGAAGGAGATCCAGCGCCTCAACAGGGTCACTACAGTCTATGTACTGTGTGTGCTGTGTCTGCGTGTGCTCTGTCTGCGTGTGCTCTGTCTGTGTGTGTGTGTGTGCTCTGTCTGTGTGTGTGTGTGTGCTGTGTCTGTGTGTGTGTGCTCTGTCTGTCTGTGTGTGCTGTGTCTGTCTGTGTGTCTGTTTGTGTGTGCTCTGTCTGTCTGTGTGTGTGTGTGCTCTGTCTGTCTGTGTGTGTGTGTGTGTGTGTGTGTGTGTGTGTGTGCTGTGTCTGTCTGTGTGTCTGTCTGTCTGTGTGTGTGTCTGTCTGTGTGTGTCTGTCTGTGTCTGTCTGTGTGTGTGTGCTGTGTCTGTCTGTGTGCTCTGTCTGTCTGTCTGTGTGTCTGTACGTACCGTGTGTGTTGTGACTTACTGTCTCCCCCTGCCACCCTTCAGGCTCTAGAGAAGGCCCTGAACCTGCACCCTCCCCCCTCCTCCCACCAGCCACCGGGCCAGGGCGCCAGTGGTAACCATGGTAACCACGACGACGGGGCTAGTAACTTGAGGAGGCAGGAGCTGCTCACTCAGATAGCAGTGTTAAAGGAACAGGTCAGTCTGACACACTTCCTGAGATAATTGATCCATTTCAGTGATTGGCTACATTTCACCTACCTGGTGTCCAACTTAGTTCCCGAGGTAATCATCATCCCTCACCAACTTAGTTCCCGAGGTAATCATCATCCCTCACCATCTTAGTTCCCGAGGTAATCATCATCCCTCACCATCTTAGTTCCCGAGGTAATCATCATCCCTCACCATCTTAGTTCCCGAGGTAATCATCATCCCTCACCAACTTAGTTCCCGAGGTAATAATCATCCCTCACCAACTTAGTTCCCGAGGTAATAATCATCCCTCACCAACTTAGTTCCCGAGGTAATAATCATCCCTCACCAACTTAGTTCCCGAGGTAATAATCATCCCTCACCAACTTAGTTCCCGAGGTAATCATCATCCCTCACCATCTTAGTTCCCGAGGTAATCATCATCCCTCACCAACTTAGTTCCCGAGGTAATAATCATCCCTCACCAACTTAGTTCCCGAGGTAATCATCATCCCTCACCATCTTAGTTCCCGAGGTAATCATCATCCCTCACCATCTTAGTTCCCGAGGTAATCATCATCCCTCATCATCTTAGTTCCCGAGGTAATCATCATCCCTCACCATCTTAGTTCCCGAGGTAATCATCATCCCTCACCATCTTAGTTCCCGAGGTAATCATCATCCCTCACCATCTTAGTTCCCGAGGTAATCATCATCCCTCACCATCTTAGTTCCCGAGGTAATCATCATCCCTCACCATCTTAGTTCCCGAGGTAATCATCATCCCTCACCATCTTAGTTCCCGAGGTAATCATCATCCCTCACCATCTTAGTTCCCGAGGTAATCATCATCCCTCACCATCTTAGTTCCCGAGGTAATCATCATCCCTTTGCTGTATCTACTCTCTCAGGTGAAGATCTTTGAGGAAGACTTTAGGAAAGAGCGGAGCGACAGGGAACGAATGAACGAGGAAAAGGAGGACTTGAGGAGACAGGTGGAGAGGCTGCAGGGTCAGATGACCAACCTCACCAATCAGGTTAGGAGCTGCTTTCTGCTAGGGGCTGTGTCCTAAATAGCACATTATTCCATATGTAGTGCACTACCCTACGGGCCCTGGTCAAAAGTAGTGCACTGAATAGGGAATAGGGTGCCACTTGGGACACACTGTTTCACAGCACTTTGCATTGAATAGGGAGGTTCTCATCTCCTCCCACCTCCGTGTGTTGGTTTTTCCTGACGGGTTCATCCATTTCTGTTGGGTTTGTTCCTCCGTCAGCTTCTCCAGGCCCAGAACGAGTGTCAGAGAGAGAGAACAGAGAGATGCAAGCTGGAGAGACTACAGATGCAGCATCATAAACAGGTACTGTAGTCACCAGGCCTCAGTCCCTTCTCACCTCCCACTATAGACAGGTTTAGCTTGGCTTCAAGTGGCTGCGGTGACCCTAGTCCATTAGCACAGGTATTATAGGCTAACCCCCTCAGTCCGACAGACAGACAGACAGACAGACCTACCTACCTACCTACCTACCTTGTCTTCTCATGGCTGTGGTGGTAAACCTATCAGACTAGTTCCCCCTAGCTGAAGTAATGACGGCAATGGGATGGATTTTCTCCTGATTGGGTAAGTACAAATGGCTGTGTGCTGTGCTTCGCTTCCTTCCAGTCTGTTTGAGGAGCACCAACTCGGGCTGTGCTTTACTCTCAAACTAGTGGAACATTCCTCTGCCTGGCTGAAAACAACCCCTCCGTATTTGCAGACGTAGATCAACTAGATCTGTTGCATAAATCCAAGTGACTGGGCGCTGTGCTTCCTCTACCTGGCTGCTTGCCCTGTCTTACTCTGCTCTGACCGGGGTTACCGAGGCGTGTGTCCCTGTGTTCCCTGGTAGGGCCAGCAGCAGGAGAGGCGTACCTCAGACCCCTCCTCGGGCACCGTGAACGGCCCTCTGAGTCCTCCCTACTGTGGTCCCTTTGTGCAGGTGGCTCCAGGAGGTGCCCAGGGGCTGGACGGCTGGCCAACACACTTCCCCCCCAGGATACCCAACAACGCAGCCAGCGTAGCGCCACCGGGACGTAGTGACTTCCCACCCCTCACACCGGTAAGGGTCCATATCACAATAGATCTATTAGTGCAAACTGTAGCAAAAATTGTTTTGCAATGGAAAGCCAAAATAAGCGTTTCTTATTGGACTGGTTCAGGTAGTCCATCCCCATTTTCGTTCCATTTTATTCCGTTTGTTTTCCTAGTGAATATGACCCAGTTACCCAATCCCAAATGGACCCCTAGCCACCACTCCTTGATCATAGCTACTGACAGAGGAGCTTTTTCCCCTTGTCACTATACAGCTACTTGCTCTTTGGAAGCTTAGGCCGGGTTACCGTAAAGCACTTTGTGACCATTTGTGTAAAAAGGACTATATGAATAAAATGTGATTGACTGACGTTGTGCTCTCTGTTCTGCTCTGCTCTGCTCTGTTCTGTTCTGCTCTGTTCTGCTCTGCTCTGTTCTGCTCTGTTCTGTTCTGTTCTGCTCGGGTCAATCAGGGATTCCTGTGGCAGTCATCGGTCCCCCAGCCCAAAGGGTCCAGGGTGCCCGGAGCAGGGGACGGATCCAGACCACCTCCAGAGAACACGGGTACGCTGACACAACAGATGGCCTCGAAAAAAAAGGGTTGCAAACTTCCGGAGAACCTGGTTGGAAGATCACCCGGAATCAGGATGCATAAGCAGCAAATTCTGGATCCTCCAACCAGGATTTCTGGTTGGGAAAGTTACCAGAATATTCATATTTTTTTTCTCTCTCTCTCATCCATTCACAAATGGTCTCTTTCACTTGCCCACTCTCTCTCTCTCTCTCACTTTTTCTTTTGTTCTCTGAGTGACTGATTGTGTGATCAATGAGAGGTTAAACCTTTTCCTCTATTCTGTCTATAGATCAGTCCACAGCAACTGGGTTTGGAAAAAGAGAGCGACAGAATATTGACCCTGGAAAGCACTAAGGGCCTCCACCGTTCGTTGTCTCGTTCCCTCACCATGGGGCTAGCTGGGTGGTAGCAGCATAAATCAGTTAGTGATTTGAACTATAATTTTCCTACTGAACTGTAGATATCCTGTTGTAATGTTGTTTATACTTGCCTTTTTATAAGCCTACTTGTGAAACAAACACTGTTTTCGCTATTCAGAAATATATTACATGAATATTATTATTTAGATATGTTTCTTTTTTTAACCTCATTCTTTTTTTTGGAGATTTAATATCTGCTTCATATGATTCTATGCAGGAACTGAAGTCATCTGCGTAATAGGTTGAAATGATCCAAATGTAATATTAAGACAATATACCCATGTGATTATCGGCTATTGACGATCGTTGCCACTGCAAAGATGTAACCTTTTTACAAAGCTGTTTTGTTACTCGTAGAGTTAAGGGGTCAATTCACCCCATGTCAATAACAACCAATACTACTTGTATTCATTCCAACGATATATAATTATATAGGTAAATTGCCTTGGAATTGGAATCATAGAAATCGTAACCGTGGATGTTTCATTTCTGAGAATTTTTTTTCAGTACCATTTGGTGTTCTAGAACTGTACCATCAAGTGTAACTGTTCAAAAAGTGATTGTTATAATACATCAAACTTGGGAAGTGAATTTAGCTGGTATGTAATGCCAAAAAACATGGTTGTGGTGATTTTATTGATCATTTATTTATAATCTACTGTTTTGATGGTTGCATTGACTAAATGTAAATCACTTGTCTTTTAGTAATGCTGTTCTTTCTATGTCGTTAGTGTACTCCCAATATATTGTAGCTATTGACATCGTATGTTCGTAACACATACACGCACACACACCCTCCACAAGAGCACCTGATTGGCCAAAAATGACAATGTAATTTCAATGCAGCACCCTTTTTTTTTTTTTTTGGATTGAATTGGTTAAAATTATTTGATCATCGATTCCAATATGTATTCACATCCTAAGGTAGACAAGTCCTCAACATATTTACCCCAAGGCTGTCCAGTCATATGTCTGGAGGATTGGGTCATAGGTCGTAGTGTAGCCAGCAGTCCCAATAGGTTTCCTTTCCTTCCCTACTGTTGACCGTTGATAGTACTACTGTAGGGTGTATTCCTGTTCTGGTTGCTGTAAACGTTAGCCTACCTGAGCGCTCTGCTAGCAGAGCATAGTCAGTATAATGTAGGATCTGTATGTGCTTTTAATGTGAATTTCTAATCGAGTTAACAGGGTATGATTGGTCTCCATCATATTGCTTTAACCTGTCAGTCATGTCCTTTTGCATCAGTCAGAGGCGAGGAAATGAAGTTTATTTTAAAACTGTGAGACTCGGCTAACCCTAAGGCTCCGTGTCATAGTCCGCAATACCTCAGTAACAGCACAGTGATAATCCACCTCAGCCAGACAAGGGGGGGCTGCTTCCTAAATGGCACTCTATTCCCTAATATAGTGCACTACTCTTGGCCGAAGCTCCCGGGCCCTGGTCAAAAAGTAGTGCGCTATATAGTGAATAGGGTGCCGTTTGGGTCACGTTTCTGACTCCGCTTGGCTTCGGTCTCGATCCACCTCTAAGACCAGCGACTCCATACGAACGCCTATCTGTCTACAGTATCTATCCGACAGTCCTGTGAACCCCTGTGACACCGTCGAGAGCCCGCTTGAATTCCAAACCCAGCCCAGCCCTGTACCTTACCTTAACTCCAGGCAAAATGGCAGCAACTCATTTTAGGTGGAGTTATTACCATTAGCTTATACCTTGCCAATGCTTTGATATCTCCACTAGTGTCTGGCGTTTATGGGGTTGGTCACTATCCTAGCGCTCCAATCCTCCTGATGTGTGATTTGGTTTGGTGGTGAACTAATGTTCTGTATCTCCTCTGAATCAAACCAATAACTCAAACTTTTTTTTTTTTTTTTTCAAGACGTTAGATTCCAGAATGGTCCAATAGTTGAATGGAGAAGTTGAATTGCACTTTGAAAGAAATGCTTTGTTTTCCTCTGGCAGTTGTCTTTTTTCTGGTGTGTAGTTGTGGAGTTTTGCAGTAGGCAAAAGGACATTACTGATGTGATGAGACTTTTTGTATTTGACTGGCTTAATAAACATATCCTAAATGTCTTCGTGCATTTTACTCTGGTGGTTATTTTCATTTAAAGTTTTTGTTGTCTTTGTTTCAACTAAAAAAAAACAGATCCTCCTGACAACCCATTGTTGCCCTTAAGTCGACCTAGACATTTTGTGAAAGCATTTGAGTGGCCACACATACCACAGTGCATCATCGTTTACAGGAAGAAGAAGTTGGCACCACGCCCCGTGTTGCATTGACGTGATTTATTGACATGAATGAGTCGGGCAGCAGCAGTTGGGTAACAGGCGTCTGATCTGGGTAGTAGGACCAGGAGGTAGCAGGGCTCCCAGGGTTACCAGGCCCAGCCCGAATGCACTGAAGGACTGGCCTGGACCCTAGACTCAGGCTTGGCACCACAGACTCACTGTTTTCAAGCCTCGCCTTCATACGACATGCCACCTCCTTATGACCAGCAACCCCCTTACCCTGTTCCACCACAGACAACCGTTCATTTCAATTGATTTACATTTCTTCTTTCAGCTGGTGTCTAGACTCTACACATTACATGGTTTGTCAGAGGTTGTTGACAAGGATGGGAAAACGTGTTGTACGACATCTGATCCAGATTAAGCCTACTCCTGGAATAAAATTAAAGCATGCTCAAGTGGAGAATTTCCATTGAAAGTGCTTTTTAGTCCAGAAAGAGGCTTAATCTGGACCCTGGCAACCGGTCCACTGTGTTTTCATATATTTAATAAATTTGTAGAAAGTTCAAATTCAGCCTATTAGGGTTGGGATGAATTCCAATTCAATTCAGGAATTTACTCAACTGAAATGGAATCGACCCCAGCCCTGATGACAACACAGGCTGCATCCCAAATGGCAGCCTATTCCCTATATAGTGCACTACTTTTAAGCAGAGCCCTATGGGCCCAGGTCAATTGGAGAATTTCCAGTAGTGCACTACATAGGGAATAGGGTGCCATTTGGGACGCATCCACAGTAAAGCCTTAGTCGATGTTCTGCTGGGTGGACTGGGAGAAGAGTTGACGGAAGTATTTGAGGATGTCCGCCCGAACCTTGGACACTGGGACCCGGGGGAACCACCTCATCACGGGCTTCCCGTCCGGTCCGACCAGGAACTTCTCAAAGTTCCACTTGATGTCGTTCATTTTCAGGGGCTCCCAGAACAGCCTGTTGGTGGGGTTCCCAAAGCTGTCGCCTACCGGCGGGCAGGAGTTCTAGAAGGCAAGGTTATAGGGTTAGAACTGTTCTAGAAGACAGGGTTATAGGGTTAGAACTGTTCTAGAATACAGGGTTATAGGGTTAGAACTGTTCTAGAATACAGGGTTATAGGGTTAGAACTGTTCTAGAATACAGGGTTATAGGGTAGGGGTGGGCGATATGAGCTAAAATTCATATCACGATATTTTCCACTGTCCAGACGATATCGATATGATATCACGATATATGACGTAAAAAAATATGAATCACATTTTAATATCCCTTCTTGGTTAAATTATATTAGTTAAGGAAAAATATGTATTTGAACCTTATATAACCAGAAAGAGTGAGGCATTGGACCGTATGGACCTGAAAAGTTTTTATTTGTATTGTGCAAACATGCATTCCGTAAACATGAGGTAGGTAGGCCTATATATATATATATATATATATATAAATTAGATATTAAGTAAAATTAAATAAAAAATAACAGGAGATAAAGAAAATAAGGTAATTACAAATTCAAATACGTGTGTTTGTTTTGGCTACGGTCCGTAGATATGTAAAAAACTAACCGTTTGAAACTAAACCTTTCAAGCCTCAACCATCAATTATCAACAATATCAACAAATCTTCACTAGAACTTTCTTCACAAGTTCCGTGCCAGGAATACCAGCATGTTGACTGTTTCTGGCTTTAGTGCTGCCCTGTGACATGTCACCACATTGCCCCCAGTGCTGAATGCCCTCTCAGAGGGGGCACTTGTGGCAGGGATGCATAAGTATTTCTTTGCCAGACAACTCACACGTGGAAAATTAGATCCGTGAAATCGCCACCACTCCAAAGGATCAGACTCGCTGTCTGCTGCCGTTGCCAGAATGTAGCTATTCAGCTCTTGCTCAATGATCTGCCTCTCTGAACATGAGGCAGGTGCACTGCTGGTCTGCTTAAAGAAGCTCCCAAGGCTCTTCTTGGGCTTCTTGCCTGATTGATGAGCAGTGGAAGCTTCTTTCTCCCTGTCAGTGTGATCCTCTGCAAGAGACGATTTTCCCAGGGCTGTGTTCTCCACCAGGAGGGCTTCGGTCTCTGAGGCAGCTCTCACCTTAAAAAATGAAAATAATTAAACTTTATTTGTATAGCACCTTTCATACATAAAATGCAGCCCAAAGTGCTTTACATTTGAAGCAATAAAACAAGAACAAATGAATAAATACCTTAATGTCCTCCAGTTTCTCAGCGGACATGTACCTGGTCTTGAACCTTGGATCTAGAAAGGTAGCCATGGAGAGCAGCTCATCTGTTGCAGGGTCAGTGTACTTGTTATTCAAGTAATCAAGAACCTTGATCTTGATCTCTTTGGTCAGTTCTGTATCGTCCTTGCTCAGATTTAGAACCTCTGCATTTAACAGATTGATGACAGGCTTCAAATAGGACACGCTCACATACGCTTCTCCTGACAGGGCATCTGTAAAGTCCTGGAGTGGCTTCAGTGCTGCTGTGACTGATTCCAAGACCTGGATGTCTTGCCAGGTAGGTACAAGGTGCCGTGTCTTTTTGTCCCCTGCCAGGACCTGTGTAATGGCCTTTTCCTGCTCCAGGACTCTTTCCATCATTTTCAGACGAGATCCCCACCTTGTCGGAGATTCTGTGATGAGCTTGTGCAGGGGCAGGCTTAGTTCATTCTGTGCTGTCATCAGGGCCTTCTGCTTTTTCCAGCTGTATGAGAACGTGCTAACCACCTTTTTGCAAACCCCTGTGGCCCGGGAAATCGCACACCCCTGTGGCCCGGGAGCGTTTTGGACACTCCTCTCTGGAAATTGGGAATAAGAAATCAAAATAATAGGGTGAAAAATAATCGAATCACAATACAATAATAATTAATAATAATGCATTTTTATATAGAAATCACAATACAATATAACTTTTAATCTTTGTTTGAGGATTTACGGCATTTACATTCAACTGTTACACATTTTACAAATCTGATGTGCTTAGATTTAGCCTACGGTACATGGCTGATGTGAGCTGTATTTTTTCTTAATAATAAGCATCATACAGGGTAGGCCTAGGCTACAGTCCTGAAACTTACCAATAGCATTGTGCAGCCTGTGTCCGAAACATCCAAGGTTTGCCCACTTGTTCAGCTGCAATGCCTTGATCATGTTCGATCCGCTGTCGGTCGTCATACAAACTTGACGCGACTCTTTTAATCCCCAG